AAAAAAAACATAACAAATTTAAGGATATGAGGTTTACAAATCTGCGGTTGAAAACATTTTAATTCAAAAATTTTTCGATAGAAATTTTATCTAAACTTTGGTCTTTTGAGTTTTATTATTTCGTTTCATTTTCGAAATACCACGTAAAGTACTATAAAAATTAAACTACAATATCCAAGCATGTTTTTAACAAACAATTCTGCGGTTCGTTTTTTAAAATTGCTATTTACTTTTTATAAATCTAAATAATATATAATCGAATGCAAGATCTGCTCACTCTAGTCGTCCGCCGGGCCTTGCCGAAGCAGGTTTTGTGTCTAATTTTCGCGCGCACCGCCGTTCCGATCTCGAAAATATTGATCGCGAGTAAGCTTAAGATTAAAGTTTTATATAAAAAAACATTAATGTTAGTATGAATGAATACTTGCCGATTTATTTTCACTTTTTAATAAAAACACATAAATTAAGAAATGCAACTTCACGTAAAAACAATAAAAACAATAGTTTTATTTTTACTTTATATGTCACAGTATAAGTATAACAGTAAGACCACTGAATGTAGCAATTGTGACCTTTTTTTGTTTTCAGTGCAAAAGCACCACGGACCAAAGGCATGTTTAGATCACAAAAAAAACCTCAATGAAAAGTGTGTTAGTGAAAAATGACATTTAAAAACAAATTATTATTTTACTCATCTACATATTATACATTAGGTATATAAAATAATTGATCTTCGCCACATCCTGCACATGTATTTTATAAACACCGGTAAAAAGTACCTAAGTTAATCCTGGTCATATACTATCTGTGAACATCCAATTCGGTGCAGTGGTTTTGAAGGATATTAAGTAATAAACAAACATCCAAACTCTCCCATTTATAATATTGGCGTGATTAGTGACAGCGGCGCGGACAATGGAAGTCCATTGTTTGCACCACAGTCAGCCAGCTTTATAGTTTAATAGGCTTTATAGGCCTTATAGTTTCTCTCATTACTCGCTGACAAGTGGTGTTTTAATAATTGGACAATGTATTTTTCAGACAACAGAGTAATTTGCCCAGCAGTAGCACAACTACACTGAATTCCAATGTACAGAATATAACTAATTATGTGTCAGTAGCTATTTAAAAAAAAAGAAGCCCATATCGAAATTTAAAAAAAAAATTCGTTCTGCCATACAAATTGTCCAGTCAAGTAACATATTTTGTTTGGGAGATCGATTTTTTTTCTGATTTCGTTTTAGTTTCTTTGAAAGAGATGATGATTTTTGGAAAACTATGGAGCCAAAGTTAGTACTTTTTTATAAAAATTGCTTACTCACAGAAATTGTTAACAGCAGATATGCACGTGGGATGGCGATCCAAGATCTAAAACTGAAATGTGACTCCATGTCTGTAATTGATGTACCAGACAAAGAAAATAATAGACCTGATTTATTCAGGACTGACCATCAAACGTCTAACGAGCCTGACAAAAATTTTGAAAGGATTCACAAACTCAGTATGGAAGAGTTTTAGAAATTGTTTCATAGTTGATTGATTGGTTAAGATGTAGTTTTAGATCATTATTGTAATTATTTACCTTTGAATACTTACGCATTTGTAAAACTTACATAAAATTATTAACAAGAAATTTTATTTAACATTTTATACGAAGTTTTTTTTGAAATAATCGAAATCGGTAAAAAAAAAACCAAAATACGTATAAATTTAATACAGTATCATACAAAATATTAACTAAAGAAGTAATTTGTAACTACTTACTACAAACTAAAAACAGTTCAAATCATAAGAAGTGGTCCTACTGCGAACTATTTTGTACTGTGGTCTGTAGCAGCGCGGTGCCGGGATCAAGTGAGTTCATTTTTTTGGGGTGTTTGCGTTGTTTATAACGCGCGCGCTGGAGATGCGCTAAATATCTAAAGTGTCAGTATAAGAGCGCCTTAAGTTGCAATTCTATGATTAATTGTATTCTGTGATTAATTCTGACATTCCCCGGTGAGCCGAACTGCTATACCACGTTTATCACGTTGTAGTGTAAAGAACCACAGACCTTTTTTACTGGAAACCAGGTTTTCCTCCAGCATCCACTTACCATTAGGTGGACTAGGTAGGCACCTCTGTCACTTTTATAAAAGAATATATAGAATATGATGAACAATAAGCTTAAATCGTGTTGAAGCTTTACTTTACTTTAAAAATATTGTAAATGTTTAAACGTGTTATCTTGTTGGTGTTCTAAATATATAAATACGAAAAGAAATATTTTTTTTATCAAATGCGTTTCGAAAATCTTTCAGGCATAAAAGATACCGCGCGTGAGTCGACATCTTTTTGTTCGATAATGAAAAATGTGTCACAGCAAATACTTTAGAATCCCAATAACAAGAATATGCGTTTGCTTTGCTAGAAGTATGTCCTGAGGGTAGTATTTTACAGCCCCTCGCAGCCTCTCAGTACTATCAGGACGTCTCGAAACCACTTCGAATCAACGTACTCCTCAATATTGTCGTTACTATTGAAGTTCTATGTTAAGTAATCGTGATATAAACTACGTTTAAGGGGATAATCACATAATACTCCAGTCCTGAACTGTACGGTGAGTTTGTCTTCGTTGAATTTGTAATCGTTGATATAGGTGCTGATCCAAAGTCGACGCGGTTCATACCACTGGCAGATCACCGGCGGTTCAGACCACATCACGTCCTGAGGTAGCCTAAGTATCAAAAGAGAAAGAAAAAATCAAATTACATTGCATTATTAGGGGGTTAGCTTAGGGATCCAGTGGAAAACAACCTACAAAGCGTGTGGCGTGTTAAACTGTTCCCATACAAGAGGGAACTGAGGTTGTTTTGGTCTAGAGGGCACCACTACCGGCACTGAGACCGGTATTCAGGTATAATCTCGAGTTTAAACTGAAACCACAATTACAACCTATACAGGGCTATTTTGCAATAACCGGGTTTCAGAATAAGTGATATAGATAAATGGTAAAGAAAAATTAATTGTAAACATCTCAAACATTCTGTCATTTTTATTTTTTAAATTAAAAATGCGTGGTAAGCATTATTTTAACTGATTTTACTACCTACGCACGCACATATTCGTAAGGGTCGATTGGTGGACAAAAACCTTGATGCCCATAAGTCACGTTCAATTTGGGATAATTTCAAATAAAAGTAGAAGCCTTATTTACTCGTATTTTCTAAAACTGAAGTAACGGTATAACATTATTTATTTATTTGAACTTAAGTTTAAAATTGGCTACTCTTTGAAAAATAACCCTGTATACGTATACGTCCCAATCCTAGTCACAGGCCTTCACTCTTGTTTCTGAGAGAATTTTAGAGCAAGAAAGTGTCCACCGCGCTGAACCAATGCGCCTTAGCGGACTTCACGTTGCCTTTGACTTTTATTTAATTTCTCAGACATGCTGGTTTCTTCACGATGTTTTTCTTCACCGCCATTCCATCTTACCACCTTTTTTAGTAAACGATACATTTCATCTTAGTCCTAAGGGTTGATAAATACATCTGCATTTTGATTTATAATTGTGGATAGATGCCTATGGGCCACAGCATTCACTTACCGTCAGTCAGGTGGACTGCGTGCTCGTAGAGATCTACTTTACAGGCTTTGGCTTGACCCAAGGGCCAAATCATGAAATGGGAATGTATCACGAAATGTCCGGATTGTATACCTGGGAATATCGACAAATAGGTTACTCTCGTCGATAATAATTTTTTTTTTGTTAGGCAGTTCGTGATATGGCGGGCAAAAAATTGCACAAATCATGAAAGGTGACATTTCCCGAATTGCCTAGGCCGATTACGATCTGCCCAATTCAACGATTGCATCACGACATTTACGCAAATCATATTCAATTTTTACTTTTGTTTAAATTATATCTTCCATACGGTTTCTAATAACATTATTTGGTATCAACCAGGTTTATTAATCTATATAAGAACTAAACCGAAAATTAGCAAAAAGAAATTTATTTTAAATCCGCGGAATTGTAGTGAATTGAAAATGTCTAATGTGGTTTGTGGCTTGCTGCAATAAATGTTTATTTCTTCCTTTCTTTCTTTCAAAAGACGGAGTACATGAAGATCTATGGTGATAATACAATATGCATTGATACTACATATGTGTTGATCAGATTCGCCATTCGCAACACAAAATTTAGTACGCAAAGCATTAACCATGAAGTCAGTCAAAATAGAACTCCATTCTATTAAACTCTCATAGCTTGAGGTCATTAGTTTCCGGCTTTCTTACTTGTTCATCTCATCAGCTTTGAAATAATCTAGTTCTGTTTGTAAGGAGCTATTCGTTGCCATAATTGATATCTTTATATATAAAAATCAATTGAAGTCCGCTAGTCTCGCAAAAGCACAGAAATGGCTCGACCGATTTTGATAAACTTTTGTGTCTATTTGAGTGGGTCTCTGGTTGGTTTAAAAACTCAATATGAGCCGGTAGATGGGGCTATTGTTGAGATATAGAAATAACCTGTGCAAAGTCGAGACAGATCGCTAATCATTACTAAAAATGAACAAATGACACTACTAAAACTAAATTCGTTCATTCATTTTGGCTCAGAAAAGTCAATGCACTTTTGATGGGCCAAAATGAATGAACGAATTAAACAAAGGCCATGCTACAGCTGTACCCATCGTGGGGAAGGACCACGCTCTCACAGAATACCAGCGTAAAATAACAGTTTGACGCTGCTGTTTCGTATGGTTAGTGTAGACAACCGGAGACCCAATTTACTGGAAACGAAGCATTCCATCTTAGTCCCTGCGGGTGACAATGCGTCTGCATTTTGATTTGTAATCGAGGATAGATGTGTGTCTATGCGCCACAGCATCCACTTACCATCAGGTGGACTGTGTGCTCGTTTGTCACCCTTATGCTATAAAAAAGGTCTCTCACAGAGATTCACCTACGGTCCGACGAATTGATTGAATTTCATCCAAATTGTAAAGTTGATGCTACACGTACTCGATAAACACTAGGGCCAGTTTCTCGTATTCTGCCTCAACTTTTTTTATTTCAGCCTCAATTTCTTCGGGCGTCCGAGTTACACCCGGCGGCGGTGGCGACGGCGCACGATACTGAACCTGGTATTTCATGTGCTGCAGCTGCTTTGGCAGTTGTACTGGAACAAGCAAGGGTATTATCAACCTGCAAAAGATATTATCAAAAAATACATTTTTTACTTTTACTATCGAAGTGATTGTAAAAAATGAACACTTTATACGTGGTAGAGCTACGTTGCGGCTGTGTATATTATGGTTGTAGCACGAATGGGTCAGCTCGATCGGGGTAGGACCACACTCTCACAGAATACCAGCGTAAAATAGCAGGTTAATACTGCTTGCTGTGTTTCGTATGGTGAATGTAGAGATCTGGAGACCCTTTTTTACTGGAAACGAGGCATCCCATCTAAGTCCCCAGGGGTGTTAACGCATCTGCGTTTTGATTCTTAATCAATGATAAATGTAGATGTTTATGGGCCACATCATCCACTTACCATGAGCTGGACTGAGTGGTCGTCTGTCACCTTTATTCTATAAAAAAAAAACCCAGTTTACCTGATGGTACCGGACGCTGTGGCCCATAGATATCTACATATACTTTCCATTAAACTGCTATTACACATCCATTCATTGCATGCATTCTATTGATATACACGTCCATTACCGGTTGAGGTGACCCAATATTACTGCAGCGTCGTTCTAACATGTAAATAATTGTAGAACATATGTGTAAAGGATATTTGAAGATGGTTTTGTATGCGTTGTTTACATTCATTAGCAAGCAATAACCTGACCTTTGTGAAAAGTTATTTATGATAAATCACTTTTATCACTTCCTGTTGTATTTATCAAAGCAATTTTATTTAATCATTTGTTATTTTATAATTCGCTATAATAAATCTGTATAATATAGGTAAAAACTATTATATGGAAATATTTATTAGTTTATTCGTATTTTATACGTTGTACGAGGGCGGCACTGAAAATTTCGGGAATCAAGGAAATGACACAACATTACTATTTAAAAATGTATTTATTACTTTTCGAAGTATTATCCGCGAAATTTGACACATTTTTTCATACGATGGAACCAATCATTGAAGCAACCATTCCATTCGGAAGTTGGGGTCTCCAAAATGGCCGTTTTGTAGGAGTCCACAACTCCTTCAGGTGATGAAAATCTCTGTCCACGCAATTTATTCTTTATTTTAGGGAAAGTATAGAAATCATTAGGGCTTAGGTCGGGGTTGTACAGCGGATGGTCTAATAATTCTATGTTTTCTTGCTCTAAAAACTCTTATGTTCTGTGTGCGGTGTGCGAACTCGCATTGTCGTGATGGAGGATGATGCGGCGGTTACAGTTCTCTTTACGGAGTTCAGAAACGACCTGTGGCAAACAAATGCTAGCATACCATTCTGCATTAACCGTTCTTTGTCCATCAAGAAGAATAGTCGTAACGTGGCTGGTTTTGAAGACAAACGTGGCCACCATTTTTTTTGCAACACTCCGTGAACGAACAATTTGTGTTGGCTTTAACTCATTTTCGAACACCCAAACTCGTTACTGGTTTTTTGTTTCGGGTTCGTACGCATATATCCAGGATTCATCACCTAATACGATGTTGTATACATCATATGAGGATCCTGCGTGGAATCTTTCGAGAGTTCTGACGCACCAAGTAACGCGAGCCGCTTTTTGCTCTTCACAGAGCGAATGCGGTAACCAGCGGGAAAACAACTTTTTTACACCTAATTGTTCATGCAAGATCATTTGTATTTGACTCATGCCAATGTCTAAAATTGCCTGAATTTCGCGGTATGTCACATGTCGATCTTCCTCAATCAGCTTACGCACAGCATCAACGTTTTCTTGGGTGACTGCAGTTTTTGGACGACCTTGACGGGGATCATCACTGAGCTTGACACGTCCACGTTGAAATTCAGCAAACCAGCGATAAATTGTGATTTTGGATGGGGCTTCATCACCAAAAGCAGAAATCATCCGGTCAACACACTGTTTTTGTGTTAAACCACTTCGAAAGTCATAATAAATCATCGCTCTTGAATTTTCTCGAGTCAATTCCATTTTCTTAACGACTAAACAAGTTTGACAAAACCTTGTGACAAAACAGAGAATCTTATTTTAAAGAGTAATTTTAAGGAGTTTTCAACTAAAAAGATTTTAATATGACAGGAACAGTGGAAATATTCCATTCCCGATACTTTTAGTGCAGCCTAGTACCATGCCGTTCATCAGATTGCGGTAAAACTTTGTCAACATCAGCACTTCCGTGAAGGTTATAGGCATAGTTAGACCCGGTAGCGGGTGCTGTTGTAGAATCCAGACATCACTCGTGCGAAGCCGAGGCAGATGGCTAGAACATTGTAAAAATAGCAATGAGTTGCGGTACTATATAAGAGCCGCGGGTTTCCGCCCGCACTGATCAAGTATTTGTATGGTCTTGTTAAGGCCAATTATTAATTGTTCCGGTGCTAGATGTTTGTCCTAGTGAAATTTATGTGTATAAACTGTCCCTACGATACAGGAAAAATTCTTAGTGTTGGGGAAATACGTACAAAATGACAAACAGTTTTGTTTTTGGGTCATAACTCTTTATTAATAAATCACAGCACTTTCATATTGTACACCAGTAATCTTTAGTAGTAATCGTTTTATACCTATGAATTCTAATAGAAATATCTATTAAGATATTTAAAAGATAAACAAACCAATTTTTTTTAAATTAAAGCTTAACTGAAGTTAACGAAAATCCATTTTTTCCGTAGCATATGGATAAAATGGCAAACGCAATAAAATTTATAAAATTAAAGACAAAGCTCGCAAATGAATCGCTTTGTTCGTTTGGGAACATCCGCGCAAGATGCGTGGGCCCACTGCGAAAAACTTAAACACCGCAACCAGTCTTCTCCAGGTCTAGATGGGAAAAAAGATCATTGCAATATATGTAAGCGCAATCCTCTTCGTCGTCTTGAGCATAGCTTGTCAAATTTTCTTCTTCACCGACTTCTTCGAACGAGGTTTTGGTAACGTTTCTTCTCCTCTTCTCTGCAGGAGCTTTAGGCTCATGTTTTGACTTAATTGCGTTCATGTTTGGAGGAGAGTCAAAATCAAAGAGGTTTGTTGTAGGTATATTTGATTTAAGTTTTCCTTGGCCACTTATGTGACATCCTTTTGAGACAGGTGATATATCCTCAATAGGCACTGCTACAGTATAGAATAAAGGGCGTTCAGCAACAGCTTTTGATTTGGAGCAGGTAAAATAAGGTTTGATGAAACTAGTGTTTGATGTTGAATTAACCTGAACCTTGAACCTTGTTCAGTAGTAGTCGGCTGTATGAACTGTATCGTTTTTGTAAGGTGTTTTTGTAAAGTTTTATCTTGGAAAAAATTAAAAATAACAGCTTCGAGTAAAGGTAAATAGTTTATTTATTTATTTATTTATTAGGGATAACAACAGCCTTCATTCTATGAAAAAAAAATCTTATATAATATGTTTTACATAGGGCCAATAATAGTCATCCCCTTTTCACAATTTATCACAGATCAGAAGTATGAAAAGTTGAAAAAAAAGAATATTACAAAACCTTAAATCAAAAATAAATTTAAAATGTTTGTCATGGCTGACCTAGAAAATTATTTATACTTCAATTGGATAATATTTACACATGTAAGCACATACATATACACATATACATATAACCATATTATAATTAAACCCTTATACATTTAAATAAAAAAGGCAAGTATATACATATACTAACATTTAAATAAATATACATACATAGAATATACGCGAATTGAAGACATATAACTTGAGATATTACTACGGATTTACAAAACTACAGAGGCTACCAACATAAACAATAAAGGTTAATTGTCTACTGTCAAAGCCTGTACTACCTTTCGCTTAAATAAATTTTTTGAATGGATAAATGGGTCAATATGAGAAAATGTTGTGTTAAAAGTTCTAACCATTCTGGAGAGGACACAATTCTTACCATAATTAGTATGATGTAAGGGAACACCCAGTAAAGGTGTATGCCTAGTCCTACGTCGGGGTACATTAAAGGATATTTGTGAAAGAAGAGCAGGGCAATCAAGTTGAGCGCGTAAAATATCGAACAAAAAAACCCATGTCTAAGATCTCACGGCGTTCCGCTAACGTGAGAAAATTAAATTTACGACAATTATCACTATAAGACATAAATGTGTGTGCAGTGCCGTCGCACCTGAAATTTAGAGATTTTAAAAACTTTTTCTGAATACGCTCTAAGCGTGCCTTATAAAATTCATATGAAGGCGACCATATAGGACTAGCGTACTCCAGTATGTTTCTCACATATGCAAAATATAACGTTTTCAATGCTAAAGTACCTTTAAACGGTTGACAGGTTCTTAGAACAAATCCAAGCATACGGTAAGCTCTATCTGCTATATTATCATAATGCATATTGAGGAGCATCTTGGAGTCAAAAAAAAATGCCGAGATCGCGTACATCATTGACCCGTGTTAATAGTTGATTATTAAAGTTATAAGGAAAAACAATTGGACTTTTCTTGCGCGTAAAGCTTATACTCTGACATTTTTTAATATTAACGAAGATGTTGTTTTGTTGATAATAAGAAAACAGTTTATCCAAATCGTATTGTAACAATTTACAATCTTCAACAGAATTAACTGCCCGATATATTTTTTTATCATCTGCATATAATAGGTGATTAGAATAAGAAAAACAGTTGGCAATGTCAAAGATGTACGCATTGTAGAATAGCGGGCCAAGGTGCGATCCCTGAGGGACACCCGAGGGAACAGTTACATAGTCGGATCTGTATCCTCCCAGCACTACAGCTTGAGAGCGATTGGAAAGGTAGGAGCACACCCAGAGGAGTAGGTCTCCTTGAATTCCAAGCAAATAGAGCTTGCGGAGCAAGAGGTCGTGGTCTACACGATCGAAAGCTTTTTCAAAATCAGTGTAGACCACGTCCACCTGACCACCATTCTCCATATGCAGGAGGACATAACTTGAGAACAAAGACAAATTTGATACCGTAGACCGTCCTTTTATGAAGCCATGCTGTGTATCAGGAATGCCACGGATTATAAGGGGGTAGATGAAGCTGTA